TGTTTTAGTTTTTTTAAAGAAAAAAAAGCAGCGATTTTTAATTTAATTTAATTTTTTTTTTTTTACAAAATCGCTACTGTGGCAGCGATTTTTAATAAAAAATAAAAAAAAATTAAATTAAAAATCGCTGCTGACGCAGCGATTTTGCCTTTTTGGTTAGAATAAAAAGTGATGTGCCCTTTTGGAATTTTTGACCATTTTTTTTGCCCTTTAGGCTCCGGACTCTTATAAATATCTGCATAACTCTAACTATAACTACCAAACAAGCCCTTAACAGCATGATTCAAACACATTTAAATACTTCAATTATAATTAGGTAGTTTTCCAAAAAAAATTGAAGAGTTTTTGCACAAAAAATTCTAAACTTTAAGACACAAAATAGTTTCTAAGACATCACACATGATAATGTACAGGGCCTCAACGGCCCAAGTAAAAATGTTACTGGGCTGGCATTATTTCTGTTGGGCCTCTCTACTAGGTCCCTTTTATGGGAAATTTCATAAATAACCACTATAATAAACTTAATTATGATTTTTAGCTATAATTTGCATATTTACGGGTTATAGTTATAGCTTACTCGTTTGTATAATTTGGAGCTACGTTTGTATAATTCGCTTACACTCAAAACAAAACATGTGACATTCCCATTTTTGGGCTTTTTTCTCTCAATAGCCTGAAAGCCCGATAACGCCTACTTCAATCCCTTTGGAGCTGTCTTCTTCCACTGGGCAAGCATCCTCAGCAGATACTGGTAATTATTTTACTTGATTTCCATTTTTATATGCTGTTGTGCTTGAAATAATGGTTGATTACTGATATATATAGTGTTTTGTAAGCAAGAAATGTCTGGATTTTTTCTTTTTTCGTCAAATTCTATACGGTTTGTTTAGGTTTATGTATTTTTCTTTTGAAGTAAGGAATCTAACTTAGAAAACTCAAGATATGCGGTATCTGTAATGTGCAAAATCTAGCGATGTTCATAGTATTGTTTGAAGGATACTGAATAGTTAAAATTAGAATAAAATGTTAAAATGAAAAAATCAACCGAACCGAACCACATATGAAATTTCGGTTTCAATTTTTCAGTTATTTCGATCGGTTTCAATTTCAAATTTCAATATTTCGATTTTTTGGTTCGGTTTTCATTTTTTTAGCCAAGGAAACTCGGTTAATCGAAAAACCGAAATTATATATATATATATATCCTATTTTACACCCTTAAATCTTAATTAAGTTACTTCAGTCTTCAGCCCATGCTCCAGCCGGCCCATAGCCCACATTTGTGGCCCAAATTCCAATCAGAATTGAAATCCCTAACTCCCATCTCTCAACTCTCGTCAGTCGTCTCTCATCTCTCAGCTCGTCGTCCGTCGTCTCTTAAGTTCAGGCCAGCCGTTACCCGCTGCTCAGTCCTCCTCGCTGAGTGCTCGCATTGGCCACTGCTCAGTGCTCGCTCGCGAGTCGCGCCTCGAAGGTCAGTGCTCATCGCGTCCCAACTCTCATGTTGAATACTTATATTGAATTAGTCAACCTCATACCTTAAAATACAGACCACAAGACATTTAAAACCAGATCATATTTGAAACTTCATGGAATCTCAAATTTGTTTCTTTCTGCTGCTGTCTCATGGACACTGGTTGCTGCAAATTCAATTTGCAATGCTGCCAGTGCCTGCTGGTTGCTGCAAATTGCAATGCTGCCTGCTGGCAGCTGGACTTTAGTTTGTAACTCTTTTTATCACATGCATGTTTTTATTCCCCTAATGACCAGTGACCACTGCTCTCCTTCAAACTTGTATTTGTATTGGTCTACCTAATTTATTCTTGAGTGGGAACGACATTCTTTTTGGTGCCCACTATGAGTTACCGGTACATGAAGGGGTGTAGTATAGCAGAAAAATGATCCTCCAACTGCACTTAAGAAAAGGAAAGAAAGGGCTGTGTATTTGCAATGAATATGTGCATAGAGTGAAAGGATGAATGCTTCTGATTCTAAGTTGTCTGCTACTGTGAATGGGCGTAATTGTGAAGCAGTTACCCAAGTTTGGTTGGCGTTATATTGGAAGTTGGCTTAGCTTGTTTGGTGTTATAAGTTATAACTATAATAATGCTCTTTGTTTGTTTTTGGGTTCCTTGTATCTGGAAAAAAAAAGTGAGACGTACTTAAAACATAAAAAAGTGAACAAAAGCGATTGAATTTTGAAAATGTACCACTATTTATTAAATTTGGTTAAACCGAAACCGAACCCAAATTGTAATAACCGAACTGAACTGAATTTATTTCAATTTGGTTTGGTTTCACATTTTTGCCAAACCGAAATTTACAAACCGAACCGACCGAACGCCCACCCTAATGAGGAGGTTTTTTTTCTTAGTGGCGTGTTTAGCACCAGGGATTTTCCCACTGACGGAGCTAAAAGATAAGTAAGGGGGTTCAATTATATCCCCTTCATCCGAAAATACATGGTATAAGTAGGGCAAAAACAAATTTATACCCTTAACAAAAGAGAAGCTTCTAGGTATACGAATTTGTTTTAATCCCTTTGTTAGAATTCCTGGCATTGTGCCCCCAAGGTCTAGCTCGAGTGGCAAAAGGTGGAGGATTTGTGGCTTAGGTTGCAGGTTCAAGCCCCACACCATGCAAAGCAAAGCCTGGTATTTAAGTGGAGAAGGGTAGAGGGGCGGGCCCATTATCCACCGAGTTTAAAAAGGCTGTGATTGGTCCAAAGGGCGGGTCACAGACGGATTTCTCGGTTATAAAAAAAAAAAAAAAAGAATTCCTGGCATTGCCTCTGGATTTGCCTTGTTTCCATATTTCCTCGTGACATGCTAATTATCTTTGCCTTGGGATATTGGGGTGATCATTGGAGGAATAGATTGCTGTGATGGTGCTAATGGGTTAAAAAGTCAATGTTGATCACGACTTCGAAATTAAATCTTGATCATATGCAAAGATATGATGTCCTTTTTCCACAAAAAAAATAAATTTAGAAAACCAGTGATTAAGGGTTAAAAAGCAAAAGTTGCTTATAACTTCAAAGATTAAATCTTGATCTTATGCAAATATATAATATCCTTTTTTCTTTGTATTTTGTTGTCTCTAGGCACAATTCTTTTAGTTGGAAGACTATACAATGCCGCTGGGACTGTTATTAGGTTTAGGGAGATCTTTCAGAAGAAAGCGTACTTCATCTCTTGATATTCTTACTACAAAAAAGGTTCCTCGGGGCTTCTACAAGGGAAAAAATTGCAAGCCTACTGGTTTTCACACTCGCAAAGGTTTGAAATCTCTATTCAAGTATTGTGAACTAGGAGTGCTATTCTTTTGTCTTTTCTCCCTGTTTGAAACAGGTTTTCTATAGCTTTATGTAAAAAGATTATGTGGTTGTAGTATCAACATCTGACAAGTTATTAGGCTACAGCTTAGGGGCTTTATATTTCTTGTTCGCTTGGCTCAGACCATGTTTGTCTAAGTTCATAATTTATCCATGATAAAGAAGTAGAATTACCGAATTCCTTCTCTTTGAAAGCTAAATATTCCAGCATTTTCTGACGCTGAAATTCAACAATTAAGTCACATAGAAACACACAGACATCTAAGTTTATTTCTAATATTAGATCGTTCTTTCTTGTTCCAGGTGGTTATGTTATTGTGCAAGAGAAGCTGCCTAACTACGTAGTTCCAGATTTGACCGACTTCAAGGTACTTGACATTGACTGAACTCTTGACTAATCATATTTTCTCTGATCAATTTACTTTTCGATTGCTCACCTTCCAGCCTTTCTGCTTGATGAAGGGCAATCAAACTTAAAATTATAATAATTCACTGTTCCCATTTACATTCATAAAGAGCAGTGTTGTCAAAGGCACACTTAAGCCATAAAGTGAGTCTTACTACATGTTGAGCGGTTCACCTTGCTTTATGGGCGCTTTGTTGTCGTCATCAAGGCTCGAAGACATACTGTACCTTGACAATGAGTGTAATCCTGAAAATGTGACACTAAACAACTGATATTTCACTTCATTATATTTTCTTCCAAATTTTTAGTCCATATACTTGTTGTTTCATGCTTATGATTATTAACCTTGGACGAGGCATACATATTTGAAATTTTTCTCCATTTGTGCCTGCCTTTTTTCATCAGAGGCAACACTCTTTTTGCTTAAAGCCCCAAAGGACCTTGTAGCTTTTTTGCGCTTTTCACTTTTGATAACACTGATCAAGAGTGAGAGCCCGTTTGGATTGGCTTTAAAAAAAAGTAGCTTTTAAGTCGAAAAATAAAAAATTAAACTTAAATGACTTTTTAAGTCAAAAAATAAAAAGTAGGGGAAGTCCTACCTTTGGTTTTTAACTTTTTTAAGTCATTTTAAACTTATTTTAAGTTATTTCTAACCTTGTCAAACACTCTCAAAAACTAAAAATGACTTAAAAGTAGGTTTGACCAACTTTTAAGCCAATCCAAACATGCTCGGAGTTTTCTGTAAATAATTTACTAAAATTAAAAGAGGGCCATGTGCTTTTATTCTTTTTTTACCCGTGTTTCCACCTCTGGTCTTATCCCGTTTTACGTTATACAGTTCTGCTAGAACTTAGCAAGTTGATTGTATTCTTTTGATCTCTTTATCCTTTTTGCCATTCCAAGATTCTTTCTTCTGCAAGGGAAATCAAGCAGACAGAAAGAGAGCAAACAAACCACTTTCCTCCTCATCCCATTCCCACCCTTGCTTAAGGAGGGAATCTCTGATTTTAGTATTTGAAAGCAGTTCTGGAGGTGGATCACCAAGTTGGGCCTAATTCCAAGTTACAGATTGAAGGCCCAGATGTGGCAGGCCTGGTAATTGCTAATAATTTTCAAGAGGACACAACGGTAGTCCAGAGCACCTTTGACTTTATCGAAGACATAACAGCTCAAGTGGCCATGAACGACAATTCTCAGTTACCCGAGAAGAGAAGCTCGCACGCGACGGTAGCGGAGAAATCAATTGAGTTAATGGGGGAAAAGGAGTCGCAGATAGTGGGAGAGGAGGCTGATAGTCAACTGGAAAGGAATTTTGACGTGGGTGGGGATGATCGAATCAACAGTGGGGTTACTACTCGAAATTCTGAAACAGAGTTAATCAACTGGGAGGTTGACAACTGGGAGGTTGATGATGTAGAGCCTCTAATGGTGCAGCAACAACTCATAACTCAGGGCAAGGAAAAAGAAGCATCCAATTGGGTGCAGCAAAATCTCATTAAATTGGGGAAAATTTTTGGGATTGATTTCCAAGGTCATGAAGAGGAAGCCACAGAACTTCTGATGCAAATAGACAGTTGCAGACAAGCAAGAAAACTGGAATCGTGTAGTGAAATTAAAAAACCTAAGACTAAAGGTGTATAAGAATTAAAAAACTTGGTATGTTTTGATGTCAAATTTAAAAGTACAGGGAACAGAGGAAAGGGGAGGAGTGCAAGTGCTAGTACTTGATGAATTTTAAACTAGTATCTTGGAATGTTAGGGGACTTAATAATTTAGAGAAGAGGAGGCTAGTAAATAGCATGATATGGGGGTGGAAGGCAGACATCATATGCCTTCAAGAAACAAAACTGGAAGGCAATGTCGTAGATTTAGCCAAGCAGGTCTGGGCAGGAAGGTGGATCAAAATTTTTTGAAGTCAATAGATGTCATTCAACTTCAAATTGATAATTTGAGGCTTGGGATTGGTTGTATCCATATTCTAGCAGTTCAAGCTTGAAACCTTATGGGTTGAGCAAGCTTGAGGAGCCTGTGATTGGACGTTGCCAATTTACACCTCTAATATGAACGAACTCCTTGAAGGGACAGCAGATAGTTTGCAAGTATGAAAATGATTTAAGACATAATATGTAAAAGAACAAGGAAACGACAAGAGTACTAATAAGCAAGAAGCACAAATATTCCTACATTGTAAAATTACGGAACAACTTTGGAGAATGTTCATTAAACATAACAGGAATATCTTGGACAATGCCTGGATGGATCACTGATGTTCTACACAGTTGGGAGGAAGCCGGTTCTCATGGAATTGACAGGTGTAGATGGAGAGTTGTCCCAGCTAGTGTTTGGTGGACAATTTGGAAAGAAAGAAATTCCAGATGCTTTGAGGCTGTGGGCAACTCTTTGCATAAGATCAAGTTGAATTGTCTCTTGATTTTTTGATTTTTTGGTGTAAGCAGACCTACTCAGAAGAATTTGTTGATATTATTGATGTTAGTAGCATTTAGGATGACAGTTTATCTTTTAATAGCCGAAGTGCATTTGTAAATATGGTTTTAGTACAGCCTACATGCTGTTTGTCTATTAATACACAGAAGTTACCGGTTTCAACTTTCAAAAACAAGAAGAAAAAAAAATACTAATATGGGAAAAACCTTAATTCGGCGATCTCTAGCAATTAAGAGTATAACAAAGTTATTTTGTGAAAAAATAATATAAAAATTTATTGTAGGCCTGTCATTAAATCAACAAAAAGTTACTGAAAGCTAAAAGTTAGCTGAACCTGTTTTTTCTCTTCAAGACATCAGTAAAATTCAGACATTTTCAGAAATGAATATATTTTCTTGTAAGGGATTTACATTAATAATCTTTTAATATATTTATGTTAATTAATAATTTCTTTAATGTATTTTTAGTTTTTCTTTTAACTATATAATCAATTTGATACGATTTTTTTAACACAGCATTTGACTATTTTTGTTTGTAAAAAATTACCACAAGTCTTTTTTGTTTTATTAGAGTTTGAAAAAGGAATTTCCTTTCTTATAGTTATAGGTAGAGTTATTTTATAGTAATTATGACGAAATAGCCTTTCGTTCTGCCAACAAAGAAGCCATCCTTGATCCCATTCCTTCCTTGCTGAACTGCCTCTTTTCGTCATTCAATGATTCCACCTTCCCTTTCTACAAAATACCTAGGTGCCCTCTTTTCCAATAACTAAATTAAAAATGACCAATCAAAACCCTATCTAAGTAACGAGTTTATTCAACTCATTCCCTAAATGCCATAAAAGGTATGTACAAAGGAACCGACATAGTGTAGAGAATAGTGGTAGAAGGTATACAGGAGTTGCCATAATTGTTGATTTAAACTGGGATCATCTTGTATTTACCCTAGTTATGATTGAGCTAACTAGCAATACACAGTATGAGATTACATGGCCTATGGTACTTGCTGATGATATTGTGCTAATTGACGAAGCTAGCGAGAGTGTTGACATTTAGCTCATACTTGGGTATCCTAGTTATGTTTGAGCTAGCTAATAATATACAAGATGAGATTCCATTGTATGCTATTTTCAAATGATATTGTGCTTATTGGCAAAACTAGAAAGATTGTTAACCAATAACTCAAATATGGAGATGTACTAAAGAGAGCAAAGGTTTTAGAATAGGTACCAGTAAAACTATATGCACTGCACTGGAAGTTTAGTCAGGATAAGAAAAGTAATTTGTGGCGAGACAAGCCCGAAGCTGCAGTGCCTAAATGCAAACTAATTCAGATACCTAGGCTTGATGTTCCAAGATGAAGATGTTACACAAGTAAAATAAGACGGTACCAGAGTGCTATGTAACACACAGATAAAACCAACAATGTTTTGCTAGTGAATATTGGTTTTATAAAGTTCAAATACCCACAAGATGAGTGTCACAAAAATGTGAATATTAATATAGATGTATGGTCATTACAAGATAAGGCTTAAAATGATCACATTCTGCAACAGGTGTAAGTAGCACATGTGGAGGAGAAAGTGCGTGTTGCTTAAATTGATTTGGTCATGTCCTACGTCAACCTCTGGATGCATCATTTTTGTAGAGGTGAAATAATGAAAATTAAATGTGTTAGAAAGGGACAGGTTAGACCTAAAACAACATGGAAACAAATTTTCATGAAGGACCCACCTTCTCTTGTAACCCATGTGGATCTAGCTTAAAATAGAGCATAGTGAAAGTAAAAGATCTATATAGCTATTCTAATTAGTTGGGATTACGTTTTAGTTATGTTAGTATGTTTGCTTTAGCTCCAATGTTCAGTAGGAGACTCTTGGTCCATTCATGTTAGTACATTTACTTAAGGTTCAATGTTCACTTGGAGCCTTTTGGTCTTGTTAGAGTTTTATATGCTAGTTGAGATATATAGAACTTGTAGTGTCAGATAAGCTAATTTTTTTGTGACGAAACAGTAAGGATTCATATAGCCAACCCCAATTTCCTTGGGGTTGAGGCGTAGTAGTAGCTGTTTTGTCGTAATATATTTCTCCTGAACTTGAGAGTCTCAGAAAGATAGTGGTGTAGAAAACAGGGTAATAGATTGTAGAAAAGGATTTAAAATAAGACTCTTGAGGGGTTGGCTATCTGGTGAGGATAAATTGTGGTGGACAGGAGATGACAAGGGAGTGTTCAAAGTCAACAAATCCTACAAGTTGATGGATCAGACAGATCAACAGTGCTCAAGTTGGCCTTGGAAGCAAATATGGAAGAGCAGAATCCCTCACAAAGTCTCCTTTTATGTTTGGTCAATGGCTAAAAAAGCAGTCCTTACACAGGACAATGTTATGAAGAGGGGGAGAACCTTGTGTTGCAGGTGCTTCCTATGTGGTGAAACATCTGAGACTGTTAACCATCTATTTTTACATTGCAAGTACACCCATCATCTGTGGAGAATATTCCTAAGCCTCAAAGGCATCTCTTGGACAATGCCCAGGAAGGTGGCTGAGGCATTACTATGCTGGGAGGAAGCAGGTGTACATGCTAAGGACAGAGGTAGATGGAGAATTATCCCGGGGGCTATCTGGTGGGCTGTTTGGAAAGAAAGGAATTCAAGATGTTTTGAGAGCATAGAGAACAATGTGCAGAAAGTTAAACTAAACTGCATTTTACTTTTAGTCTTTTGGTGTAATCAATTATACTCTAATGACACTGTCTCTATTATTGATGTGTTAGACTCAATTTAGACGTAGAGAAGTGAAATCAGGAGTACACTTGTATATAAGGTTACAGTACGACCCATGTATTGTTTTGTGATATAATACAAAGTTACCAAGTTCAAAAAAAAAAAAAGTATTTGAAAGCAGTTGCCTCCGTGTTCATATGTTCTTAGGATGTCTTGCTTTTGGATTTGATCATCTATAGTTAAGTAGTTCTTGACAAATAAAAGATCTAGGAAACTGAAGAGAAATGGGTCCAATGTTCTTTTCTTTCCCCTTATTTCTTTCAATTCAATGCTTGCCCAAATGTACAACATCAAGTTTCATCCTTGCAAAACCAACTGGAATAGGTTTGCACGTAAGTCCTATCTCCCTTTAATGGACTTCAAGTCCTATTCAAAGTTTTGGGGTCCAACAAGTCGGATTCCTCCCAACTCTTTCGTAACTAGGCCTGAATTCTATTAATTATATTTTGTTCCAATGCTGTCTTAAATTAGTAATTGGCTATCAGACCACCTAGCTTAAAATAGTTTTATAGTTTGAAAAGGCTGTTTATGATAATGATAATAGTACTTCTTTTTTTTTGGACAATGTAAGTAGCTAGTATATTGAAAGGAGAAATTTCCCAACAACAAGCTGGTGCTAAGTCTATACAAGTATTAGGAGACCTTCCAAACAAAACAAAATGGAAGGATTTCTCCAATGAAAAACCTATGCTTGCAGGGAGCAATGGGTGCATGTATTGGTAAAAATTTATCCACATCGAATGTTTACATCAAACCAATAAAGTTAACCTTATCAGTTAACAATTAAGGGAAAATACATATCACTTAACCATGGTTAAGTGTTAAATATGTACGTGAAAGACATGTGTCTTGCATTTATTGATTTGGTGTAAACACTTGGTGCAGGTAGTATCTACCATTGGGTTTTCTCCCAACCCAACTAACACTCCGAATACGCAGACTGCACCTCCCCAATAGCCCATTTTTATTCCAATGAACCAAACATCCAACAATAGAAGTATACCCACTGAATAATCTTGTATTATTTAATCTGCATATTATTATTCCGAGATAACTTGTTATCTACCAAACTACTCCTAAGAGTTGTAATAGGTCTTAAAAGTGCAGCCCACAAGTAGGGGAAGAGCGCCAATCATTTTGGGAGCAATGGGTGCAGTGTATTGGTAAAAATTTATCCGCGTCGGGTGTTTACATCAAACCAATAAAGTTAATCTTATCGGTTAACAATTAAGGGAAAATACATTAACCATGGTTAAGTGTTAAATATGTATGTGAAAGACATGCGTCTTGCATTTATTGGTTTGGTGTAAACACTCGGTGCGGGTAAGCATTTACCCAGTGTATTTTCTCCCAACCCAGCTAACACTCCGAATACACTGACTGTACCTCCTGCTCCTGGATTATGATCTGCCTTTACATCAACAATAGCATACCTAGGGTGATCCCACAAATGGGGTCTCAAATGGGAAGGGTGTGTGTGCGCTCGCAGACCTTACCCCTACTTTGCGGGGATCAGGATCTGCCTTTGCCAATGAAAAGAAAGTTCTATCAGTAATTTTCCCAAATATTTGCTATATTAAACATATGTTTCTATCAGGCTCAAAACCTAGTTTTATCGTGTCTTTCATAATCTAAAAGATGTCATGTAGAAACTTTACTCACCTTCTTTTGTTCTTTTCAATTTGTGGGAGAGAGAAAGGTAAAAGGTTGTTATGTAGCATACATATATATACTGAAGGATAACAACTTCTGTAAGTACTGTTACATTCTACTGACAGTGCCACAAACTGTGTTTCTTCTTAGGACAGCCTAGGAGTTCTTATGTCTCCTAGTCTCGTACCTTTGGATGGGTGATATCCTAATTCTTGCAGCTTGTTCTGTTTATGGTGATGAGATGGAAATGTGTAGAGTATCTTTTTTTTTTGAGTAAGGTAACTTTGTATTAAAACCAGTACTTAGGTAGTACTGAAAAAAACCAATTTACAAATGGAATTGATACAGAATATACCAGATATGAAACCAATCCTAAATGGTGCCTAGGACATCTAGGATTTGATTCAGTGTCACTAGAATACAGTTTAGTGCACCAAAAACAGAAAAGCAAAATGCATTTTAGCTTAATATCCTGTACTTAACTCCTCCTATCCTCAAAACATCTTGTGTAGAATATCTCTGTATGTAAACAATCCTTTCTGTTATGCTGGACCTGTATGTTGCAATTTTGTCATTACTCGTCTAGTTTTCCTTCCTTTTTTTTATTTTTAAAATTTTGGAGAAGTAATTATCTTGTTTCTGCACAGAAGGCCTTAGTGATATTATACAGACCAGTATATAAATGATCAGTCATGTATAAGAACTAATTATCATTTCTGTTGTTCACACAGTACTGGAATCACTCATTTTCAGCTTTATTTCTATCCATGAGATGATTAAGAAAAGTATATGAAGTTGGAACTTGATTGTAGTCAATTTGGAATCTGGTTATCAAAGTAATAGATGTGTTATTTCACTCGTTCCTACCTTTATTCTTTTTCCATGATGTATCTTGGATGAGCTAAAAGCCTTACAGAGTAGATATGAATTATGATAAAGATGTTTTACTAATTATAATTTCTATTGTTCACATAGTGACCGAAATCACTCACTTCCAACTTTATTTCTATCCAAGCAATGATTAAGAGAAGTATATAAATTTGGAGCTAGATTAGTCAATAGGGAATCAGGTTATAAAGTAACAGCTGTTCTATTTCATTCATTCTACCTTTATTCTTTTGTCGTATCTTAGATGAGCCAAGAGCCTTAAAAGAGTAGATAATGATATAAATGCTAAATACATTGGTCAGCTAGAGGTTGCTAGTTTCGTAACTTTTACAAGACACTCTGTTAAGATAACACTATCTTGGTGTATTATTAATGAACTCTTTTTGATTATCTAAAGAAAATTGTATATAATTTTCAGTCTCTTCCAGGAAATACTTGTCACTTGTGATTTCCGTTGGGCCCACCAGCCCAGCACTTGCTTAGATCACCACCTTCTTATGATTTGTATTTACATCCATTCACTTTCTTTTTGTCCAAAAAGTATCAAATATTTATACATTCTTTGGGTAATTCCATCACGTTTATCTTTTCCTCCAAGTCTTTTAAAATTTTGAAACAGATAGTGCTTGAGGCAATTTCTAGCCAATGGATTAGGGCATGGACTTTTCAGCATACCCCAAAATGAGCTTAATTTTCAGTGATCAGATTGCACTTTCTTGTGTTCTGTGGTGCTGCTGCTTTCTCTCCTCTTAGCATTCAATATTGGAGGGAGTTCACTTTCCACTATTTTCCAAGATAGTGCTCCTCGTCTCAGCTTCTCTGGAAATTATAGTTGAATATACAGAGTTCTATAAAGAAAAAAACATAGTCTATAATTTAGGTAAAAGAAACTACTCACTCTATCTAGAGTGTTAGAAAAAGTTTCAAGTGTTCACTAGATCGTAGAGAATGTTTATGAAACTTGTGACTTTTTCATTTACTTGATTTCTGTGAAGTTGATAAAACCTCGCGATTGAATAATTCCTCTCTTTTCTCTTTCTTTTTCAGCTGAAGCCATATGTATCCCAATGCCCGATAGGAACTACAAGTGCAAGTACGGAGGCAAACAAAACTGCAAAATAAGAAAGAAAGGAGAAAAATGATGAACACTTCCTCCCCCTCTTCAAGGATATTTAGGTTTTCTGTGTTCATTTTCTAGCTTAACATGAAGACAACGACTTGTTTGATCCGTTACAACGTCTACTTTTGTTGGGATAAAAAAGTTGTCTTTTTCCTTTTCCCTTTTTAGGTACTCATCTTTTTCATCTAAACATGTCATGGGTGACATGATCACTCTTGTTTGATGCCTTTGTAGATTAACTAGTTTGGTTGAATACCCCTTTGGACCAGAAAACGGCGAGGTTGTTAGGATGGGAATAATATCAGTAGGAGGAATAATTTTTGCAGCTTCAAAGCTTAAAGTTTAAACAAAAGTATCTTTGCTGATTAGATTACATCAAATAAGATAATTAAAGGCACAACCTTTTCTGCAAAAAAAGATACAAGGTGTGATATGGTAGGTGCACTAACTGTCTTGTGCTCTTCTTTTACAAATATTCCATTTACACCAGTGTATTATTTTATTGAAAATAATACTAGAGAAGGAAACACAAGTTTTAATCTGAAGTGTCCTCAATGTATATATTTTCTTGAAATATAGACAAAGGCACTTGCAAATTTGGACAGGTTTTCATGTGGAGTTCATCCATTTCATTCGGAAAGCTATGAACTAGGTCAAATACGAGATAATTTGCTAATAAGAATGAAATAAAAATATATAACCAACGGATTTAAAATCTCGAATGCCCAGTAAATGATGATTAACAATTTGAATTCTAAAATATTTTTAAAACAAAAAATGACAACAACAACAATAACAGAAGACATGATTAAACGTGCAAAATGAAAAAAATCATATATCATATTAGTAATTATGAAATAAAAATAAAAATATGATTAAAAGATATACTAGCATAACAAGTTGAGGAATTTTGGAAGTCTGTTCTTGTGGTCGTACAAGAAGGATAATCGTCTAAATATAATTTATTACTAGTACTATAGACTACAGTATTAAATATTACTAAAATCAAAGTAGAATTAAGAGAGTCAATTTCCACGCTTGTCCCACGTAAGAAAGCTTCATGGATTTATGTCTTTTAGTCACCGACTCAGCAAATCCCCCGTCAGTTATGGATTTACTTACAAAGTTGTATACTCATTGTAAGAATTGGGAGTTGAATCGAGTATTGAAATTCTCGATTTGACTCGATAATTCAATTTTAGGTGATTTATATTCATCCGGCGTTGATGATAGTATAATTTCTTACTATTATCAATCAATGCATTTTAATGTATTGTAATAATAATAATAATAATATATTTTATTTTTTAAGTTACTAATATTCGAATAATTATTAGTAATAATCTTTTAACTAATTTAATAAAATATTATTTTGTGAATTTAAGTTAGAATTTTTTAGATTGTCTAGGGGGTGGAGTTGAAGCATCCAATATTAACTTTTGTTCAAATAGTATATATATATATATTTAAAAATAGTATATTAAATATACTCATAACACTTGAAATCATCGTTATAAAATTCAAAACTCATAAAATAAAATTTTTGACTTTATTTATGTAATGCATCATAATTTAACCAGTTATAATATGTTAGTATACGTGTATATGAGAGTGTGTATTAATGATTAATGAAATGAGTTAGAGCAGAATCATAACACTTGTCTTACACATTTTCCTAATTTTCAACTACTTACAAATTTTCCAGCCGTGCATATTGGGCCATGAACCAGACTTTTCAAAAAAAAAAAAAAAGTCATATAACAGGTCAAAAAAGTCATTTAATGAACCTCATTACGAACCTCACATGAAATATCATAGAAGCCTCATTTGCCAACCTTTCTCATTCTATTTAACATTATTATAAATACCCACACACCCCCTTCATTTCGAAGAACATCTAACTAAAAAAAATGGAAAATAATAGAAGGAGATTTTTCAAGAACTTTAGAGATAATCAAATGCAAATCAACAAAAGCAAATCAAAATCGAATTCTATTATATTATGCAAGAAGCATCCTAAGCACAAGCAAAATCCCGGGGTTTGTTCTGTCTGTCTTAGTGAAAAACTCTCTCTGCTTTCAAAAACATCAAGAAGTAACACGACAACTATTACTTCTTCATGTTCTTCTTCTTCTTCCTTATCTTCTTTGTCATCGTCTTCAGACGTGTCCTCATGTTCATCTCCAAACACTAATGTGCTCATGAAAAGTAGATCATTGGCTTTGATTATGAGAAGAAAAGAAGGTGGAATTATATTGGAAGATAATAATAGTATTGGGAAGAAGAAGAAGAAAAAAGAAGGATTTTTGACAAAATTATTAAATCCTAAGAGAAATAGAAAGGATCATGAAGTATTGACACATTCAAGAACAATGAGAGAAAGGGTAATAACAAGATTTAGAATTACTGCAGCATGATATTTTTATATTTTTTTATGAGATCTGTTGTATTTTTTATTTTAGTTTAGCTAGGTAGATTAATTACATAAAATTAAGAAAAATATATATGAAGTATACATATGTATGATACTATTGGAATTCATTGGTGTGCTACGATAATTTGTAACTTCACCAAGTAAATGAAAAAAAAAAGTCTTATTTTTCATCTAAACGAGATGTTTCTTGTTCGTGTATTTGCGAAGCAAAAGAGAAATGATTTTGATGTACTAGTGATCATGTGGGAAACTATTACAACAACTATGTCTTGATCGTCTCAAATAAATTAGGATCGGTTAAATTCTTATTTCGATATTTAAGCAGGTATCATATTATTATCATCATTAATAATAAAAGTATGTTAAAAGCAATTCCCTAGCTATATAGATTATTTAAATAAGATACATTGAATTAAAGTTTCACAATAATAATCGCGATCACGATGAAAATTTTCTTTAATTCATTGTATCTTATTTTTAGTTAAGTATATATTGATACCACACAATTCCAGGTCTTTTAACACTATTTCCTTCTATGTAATTTTAGGTTTATCGACTATCCCATCCCCAATTTTCAGCATCTTCACTTAGTACAATAGTTTTATACTTACGGATCGATACCTCGATAGATTGATAAAAAATATGTCCAAATCATCTCCAACGACCTTCTCACATTTTATCCTCAATGTGTACGAGCTACACTTAAACCTTCTACGAATATAATCATTTTTAATATTTATCTAACTTAATATATCCACACATTCATTTTAGCATCTTCACAACACTCGTATTATAATATATTTATTGGACTTTAACAAACCAGCATGCATTCACTACCATATAATATAGCCTATCCATGTGAGAAATATTAGTCATTTCAAAATTCTCGTGTACTAAAATCAGCGAACAACTAGCTAGCTAGTCCACCTATTTTTTTTAATCCTCTTGATAAAAGAAAAAAATGAACTACGTCTACACTTGAGCTTTGTTACAACTAGTGCTACGGTTCGATCGAGGATCACTTACAAATTAAATAGAAAATATTTGTTTAGATCTCGTATAAAAATAAAAATCTCTCGCAAAAAAGTAAACTAAAAGATCACAAAATCAAATCTCTCCATTCAACCTTTTTTTTAATTTCTTTCTCGAGCCCATAAAGTACAGCTGCACACAGTTTCTAAATTTAAAGTTTTACGTAATTTGTTTTCGATATCAATGCATGTATGTTGGGGAAATTTGACCTCTTAAACTACTCAATTCATGCATCTAGTTATTCGAAATGAACTCCAATATTTATTTATAGTAGAAAAATAAATATTAATTACGAGACGTGTCCCTTTTATAATTAAGAATTTAATTAATCCACTGATTTTGCCACCTCTAAATTACAGTACACAATGGAGCTAGCTAGCTAGACACATGCAAGTAGCAGTAGAAAAATGGAAAAAAAACACTGGCAAATCATTGTACTTAACCCAAAAATTAATTAGCCAGATCATTATAGAGATCTTATGCATTTGTTGTTATGTCGTTCAGATCAGTAAATTAGTAGAATACATTTTTGTTATATATGAGGTTAATGATGAGACACAATATTCCTCACATAACACCAAAGTCCAAACTTAGCTTGTATGTACTGTTGCTAGGCTGTTATCATGCTGGTGAATGTGTCAAAAAGATCTCTCCAAGAAACTTCATCCTAATTATAAAAGCTACCACTGCAATAATAAAAACAACGGTAACATATTCAGTATAATTTCACAAATAAAGTTAAGACAGAGGGTTGGGTATACACGTACTACTAGAAATAGAGATTTTCTCCCACCACAAATAAGTGAGAAGTTTATGTTATAAAATATAAATTTTCCACTCATTTCTCATGAACCAGATCACTAGGAAAACACATAATGGAAAACAGATTATCATTGAGATACTGGAAAGCTTTCTAATTTTTCCATGTGAAAACACTACTGTTTTTCCTTTTCTCATTAATTCAATAAAAAAAATATTCAAATTTCAATAGGAAAATAGTGATTTTTAAGTTGGGACACATATCCTAATTACCATTGCCTTTGTAGGATAGGAGCTTGTTTTCGATAGACCCTGCGAAATCATTTTTTAGAAGTGAAGGGGAAAAATGCAAGAGTAAAAATTATGATAAAAGAAAAATACGTACATAAACAGTATATATAAATATTAGACGATAATTAAATAAAATAAAAGAAACATCGTAGCATATAAAATATTGTTACCGTAATAGAATATAAAAGCTAACACTATTTAAATAAATCATCTGAATGGGTTAGTTGACAAGAAAGTTAATTTTTATTTTTCCTTTTTTTATCACTTATATATTACTTTTTCTTGTAAATTTAAAAGTAATCAAAGTTTTAACATTTTCCATGACAGCTAAGAGAGAGATATTAAGAACCCTAGCTACTGTAAAGTTCTCAGCAATTTCCTCTACATTTTTTATTTATTAAAAGTTGAATATTATATAATATACTGAACAGAAGATTAAAGAATTTGAGTGCGCAGTAAAGTTGCTTAGTTTCATACATAATATTTTTACACGTTTGAATATATATAATATGTTTTCTTTTTAAAGTTGTTGAGAAAATGTATTAAAGTATACTATATTATAATCGTATATTCCAATTTTATAGAATTATCCTGTATACAAAAACTAAATGGGAACATAAAGAAACAAATAGGGCAGGTTTATAGTTGGCAAATTTGCTTTCTGATCTTGTGTCATGTTAAGAACGTTACGTATGTAGCTACCTTTTTAATTAGCAGATGAAATTTTGTTAATCGAAAAATTATATTGTATTAAAAAATTGAATAAATGTGTATATAATTTTTTTTTATTTCTTTTGACATAAATTTAA